AACAGCACATTTTACTCTGCATCTCTCCCTGTAGTTCCCAACATTTTATTTGCACTTTGGTTTTGGTTCTGACGTTATGTTTTTGTTGGACTGTCTACGAGGATATTTTGTTTCACTAGGGCTTAATTACACAAGCAAAGTGAACGTTTTTGAACTAAACTGAAAAAACCTTCACCCTCCCCCAAACAACCACCATATGATTTGTTCTCTCAAAGAACTTTTCAAGTCACTATGTATAGTAGCATCTAGTTTAAAATCCATGGCTAGATATGTGCAAGGCTACTTTCCTACCTGTGGACGTTATGACAAAAAAAAAAAAAGAAAAACACACGGAAAAAAAGTACCTGCTGCTTTTTCAGGTGGACATTTAGTAAAATAAGGGCCTAATGAAACTCCAAAAATTAGTGCTAACTAGCCATAATATTTTATATTGGTAATGTACAAAGTCATCCTCTTTTTTTGAATAATTTTGTAATTGTATAAACAAATGGCAGGCCTTGCCAAGATTTTACAGCAAATAAAATCTTCAGCCGTGAGGGTCGATCTTTCATTCTTGCCTTAAGGAAGAAAAAAAAAAAGGGCTACAGGCGGTTATCGAATCATGATAGACTTCACAGTAGACTCCACAACAAGCCTCTTAGCAAGACAGCCTGCCAGAGGCTTTCCGGATCTGCACTTGCGCTGGATCAGATCTGCATAGCTACCGCTGTCTTCTTTTGAAGACCTAACTTCGCCAGGCGAAACTCCCCGCCTGACTAGGTAAGAACTAGTTAATACCCGCGACGCCACACTTAAAAGGAGAGCCGCCGACACGACGCGAATGCTTCAGAAGCACCGGGAGCTGGCGCCGTCCTTGCGGATCCGCAGGCGCGATGTTCAGCTCCACCCGCCCCGCGCCGCCGCGGGTCGTGAGCAAACCCACCCCGCGCACAGCCCCGCGGGCTTGCCGGCCGTGTGGGCGTCTCGCAGTCCCTCCGGCGGCACCCTGGCCCGCCCCTGCCCACCCCGTCTCGGCCCGGACCTCCCCGCGGCGGCGCTACGCAAGCCCGAGGCCTAGCGAGGCCTTGCAGGCCGCAGCCACGCCGCACCTGGCCCGCCGTCTCGGTGGCGTCCGCCAGGATGCCGTAGTTGCGGTAGAGCTCCTCCACGGTGGGCATGGCGCGGCGGGGAAGGGGCAGAACCGCCGTGACACCGAGCCCGCCACTAACGCCGCCGCCGCCGCTCCGGCCGCCGCTCCCGCTCGGGCCGCGCCGTCAGCACCAGCGAGACGGCGGGCCCAGAGCGGCCGCGCCACGCCGCCGGCGCGGCGCCCCCGCATGGCGGGCGGTGGAACTGCAGGGCCCGGAACCCCTGCGCGCCCCCGCGCGGCGGCCGCTTCGAGCGGGGAGCGGCCCCGGATGACGCCCAAAGGCACCGCGCTCTCGAGGGACAGCTCACCATCAGCTGGTTTTATCCGCCCGGCCCCAGTCCCGACCCGGGGCCCTGGTACAGGGTGCGTTCGTCTGCTCAGGAATGTGCCATGGCCTTTACCTTTTGCAGCTTTCCTTCCCCCCCCCCCCGGACTTTTCTTCACACTCCTCCTCCTTCTTTCCCTTATCGCTGCCTTCCTCCAGCGCCCCTGTTTTTGTCTCTCCTATACAAATACGATGAAAGGTGCTCGAGAAGTGCCTGTTGCATGCTGAGTTCCTGGTACGGGAAAGAGACTGCTTTCCTGTGATTTGCCGACTTTCATCTTTTCCTGCAGAGAAAAATGCTATCTAATTCTGGCCTATAGAAGTACCTGTAAGTAGTGTCAGTGGAGGCAGCACATGTACATTAGGCTCAAAGGACCAAATATAAAGTGTGGCAAAAGTTATAAGGCTGTAGCAGTGCCTTCTCCTCATATCTCTAGGTGCTTTATCATCCTGGAAGTTTCACAGGCGCTTAAAATGGAAGAGGATTTCTCTTATGTCAATCTGAGGCCGAGCTAAGCAAAGTGCTGGACCTCTCTTAAATATCCTTCCCAGCAGGATGAAGGGTGCTGTTGGAGGCATTCGAAGCCCTAATCTGTTTCCAGAGTACATGCAGGCAGACCACACACAGCAGGGATGTACAGCAGCATCAATCATTTACCTTCCTTTTGTTTTTCTTCTACTCTCAGAGTGTTTCAGCAAGTGGCAGCAGTGACAGCATCAGTCACCTTTCTCCCCCTCTTTGAACAGAGGTCCGGTGCCTTTACCTGTCCACAGGTGGATCCATGTCATTCTTGCAGGCTGTGATGGGGTCTGAGGGTGTAGAAGCTTGTGGCTTCTGTCAGATCCAAGACAGCTTTAACCACATCCTGACCCTTCTTGTGCTGGTGACCATCACATTTACCCAGAGTAATCTCAAAAGAATATGCTAATCTTAGTAGTGGGAACAAAATATAACATGAGAGAAAAAATATTTTTAATACAGCCTGGTGGCTATTAAGAGATGTCAATCTCTTGTCCTCCAGCATCTTCCAGACAGTATTACATCTGAATGCAGATTTTAAAACTATAATCATCTTTATTGCCACTACCATGGCAAACTTTTACAACTTGGTCTGAAAGGAATAAAGAGGAACATCTCATTTAACTGTGTTTTACTCCTCCCCCGAAGTGTTTATGTAGATCGATCTGCCTTGTTATCTCCTTTTCTTGCTTTTTTTTCCTCAACAACACGTTATTGAACTGTGATTGCGTTCTATAGCAAATATTGATAAATAAATAGCATTTATACATTGTTGTATGCATGACAGTTGTCGGAAGAAAAGTAGGCACGAATGAAGATGGGTGTGAGAGGAGTTGTGTACCTTCTTGGAAAGGCTGGCTCTGTATTCCATGGCAGAGCAGAAGGGGTGCTTGAGATACTGCAGAGTGATGGGAAATTAAGATGAACTCAAATGCTGGACTTGGCTGCGCTACAGAGTGATTGTTGGGTGGGGTGGGATGGTAAGCAGTCTCAAATATACAATAATAACATATATTTTGTTATATCTAACTATTTTAATCACATTTTTGTATATTGTATCATAACATATATTATATATCTTGGAGTTATACTTTTTATCTTCTCTGGCAGTGAGACATTCAGCTGTGCTCATCATCTTTCTAACAGAGAACACATAAAATGAAAGGGGTATTCAGACCCACATTAAGAAAATGTTTTCTCTGAGGTTCATTCCATTTCCACCCTTTGATGCTAGTATTTTTTTCCCTCAACTACTTCCTTGTTGCTTCACATAATTCTTTTAATTTTTTTCTCTCCTTACAACAATTTCCATTTTTCCATCTCTAGTTTTCACTTATGACATATTTTTTTATAATAAACCTGTTTAAAATTAATCACAATTTTTCTTTAGCATTTATATGGAAGGAACATGAATGAAGAACTGATGGTGTTACATATTAGGAGATATTGTTTGTCAGGGATCTCTCTGTTAATGTTGGGATATTTTTGAAAATCTATGTTTAGAAACTCAAAAGCTTGAAATGCATATTTGAGAATGACACATAGTCATTCTCAATGACTGAGTCAACAGTGCAAGTCCCCTAGTTTTACAAAATATGATTAGTTTGGCCATCACTCAAGATTTTCATCTCTTCTTTATTCTCAGTCTTCTCATGCTCATGCACATGGAGATAACCCTACAGTAAGTTACAGACTCATTTGATGATGAAGTGGTATCATACATTTGACTCCCATTCCTGTGCACTGCCCATAAACCAAGTATCCTAGAATCATTGTAGGTTCTCCAGAAGAAAAATAATTTACTTATGAAATCAATAAGATTTTTCCTCAAAGGAAAAAAAATTACTATTCCTGTCCCGCAACTGCCCTGGTCTTTGGTGGAGGACAGACTTCAGGCAAAGCCATAGATGGGGCAAAGCCATAGATGGGGCATAATGTCTATTATGACAGAAGGAGAAGACATGCTTAAAGAAGACTTCACACTGGAACAATGGTTTAATCACATGAATGCCCATGTACCCAACCTGAAAGGTTTCTGTGGGCCAGATACCCAGTGGATAATAAAGTGGCTGAAATAAGGTCCATTTTTTGGTTTATCCTAAATGAGCAATTGATCCTGAATTCTTCTAATCTCACTTTTTAGAAATGGGCTTGAGTTTTAAACGGAGCATAGTTTTACAAATGAAGGGATATAGCAATTTTTCCCCCATCCATCTTCAAGATTTGTTAAGTATTTTTCAGAAAATGGTGTCCAGGTATCACAAGGTAATATAGTGAGTGCATAACAGTGTTCCCAGCTGTAAAGCCTTTTATTGGCACACATTAAACACGTCCTGCATGGTTGCAAGCATCTGACTGCTGTCTTCAGAGAGCAGAGATTTCCTACAGATTCCTTCTGATGTAACCGGATTTTCTCGCAGAATTTCTCCCCGGCAAGGCTATGCGCTTCTTTTCCCATGGGAACGGCAATCCCGTGGACGCGCATCCCAAGCGTGCCAGCAAGCGGCGCTCTGGCCCCGCGGCCGCGGCCGCCCGCCCCCGCCCGCAGAGGAGCCCCTGCGAGTCCAGGGGGACGTGCTCCCGCAAACAGGACAGCGCCAGGCCTTTGGGAAGGGATCGCTCTGCAGTGTTCGGAGCCGTGACGCATGACTCTCTGAAAAAAACCCTTACACCTCGTTTGTTCCAAGTCATATCCACAAATTTAGGCGAAAAAAGAGATTAGAGAAATAAAGTGGAATTAGAGAAATAAAGAGGAAAAAGAGGAAGGAAGGAGTCTCATCATAGAGATAAGAGGGAGTCTGGCATCACAGAGCCAGGAAATTGTGTGGGGTCATAGAAAAAGACAGGAGTCTGGCATCATAGAAGTAGTAGAATATTTAGAATCATAGAGGAGAAGGAAGGAGTCTTCTCATCTATCCAAGAGGGAGTCTGGTATTTAAACAGCTCTAGGGAGCACAAGCGAGCAGGAGTGCATTGAACGGAGTGATCAAACAGAATGTGATGTGTCAGAAGGACAAGGTGCAGCCACGTGTGAGGCAGTTTGTGCAGGCAGATGAGTGGGAAGGACACTGGGGTGTGGCTCGACAGACTGTTAGCTGAGCTGCTGGTCATACACTTGGTAAGAGAGTGCAGCTATGGTGTCCACCCAGCACAGAGCCAAGTCCTCTAAACTCATTAAAAAAGATGCAGTGATCCTGACAGTGGTCACAAAAAACCCATGCAAAACATGCAAAAAAAATGTATTGCCATCCAGGCTTCAGGCTGTAGGGAATGCCTAAATGTCTAAGTGGATTGTAGTGATGGCAGCTGCATCATATGTGACCAGGTGGATGACCTAATCAGTCTGGTACCAGAGTTATGAGTTGAAGTAGAAAAGCTGAGAAACATCAGAGAATCAGAGACGGAGTTAGACTGGTAGGACCATGCTCTGGCTTCTGAAGTAAGATAGGAACAGCCATTGGTAACGATAAAGATCAAGTCTATGGGACCTGGTGAGATGCATCCCAGAATCCTGAAGGAATTGGCTGATATAGCTACCAAGCCACTCTCCATTATATTCAAAAAGTCGTGGCAGTAAGGGGAAGATTCAAGTTACTGAAGAAAGGGGAATAGTACTCATCTTTAAAGAGGGAAGAAAGAAAAACCCTGGGAACTACCGAACTGTCAGCCTTACCTCTGTGCCTAGGAAGATCATGGAACAGATCCTCCTAGAAGCTCTGCTAAGGCACATGGAGCTGATTCGAGACAGCCAGTAAGGCTTCACTAAGAAAAATCCTGTCTGATCAACCTACTGGCTTTCTGTGATGGGGTAACTACACCAGTGGATAAGGGAAGAGCTATAGATGTAATATATCTGGATTTTGGAAAGCCTTTGACATAGTCCCCCACAACACCCTTCTCTCCAAATTGGAGAGTGATGGATTCAATGGGTGGACTATTAAGTAGATTAGGAATTGGTTGGATAGTCATATCCAGAGGGTAGTGGTCAATGGCTCAGAGTCCCAATGGGCATCTGTGATGAATGGTGTCCCTCAGGGGTCCGTACTGGGACCAGTGTTATTTCATATCTTCGTTAATGACATAGTGAGAGGGATTGAATGCACTCTCAGCAAATTTGCAGATGACACTAAGCTGAGTGGTGGTGTTGACACACCTGAAGGATGGGATGCCATCCAGAGGGACCTAGACAGGTTCAATAAGTAGGTGCATGGGGATCTCTTGTGGTTTAAGACGACCAAGTGTAAGGTGCTGCACCTGGCTTAGGGCAACCTGTACCAGTACAGACTGGGAGATAAACAGATTGAAAGCAGCCATGCCAAGAAGAACTTGGGTGTGCTGGTGGATGAGAGGCTGGACATGAGCTGGCAATGTGCACTTGCAGCCCAGAAAACCAATCATATCCTGGGTTGCACCAAAAGCAGCATGGTCAGTGGTTGAGGGAGGTGATTCTTCCCCTCTTCTTTCTCTGGTGAGACCCCACCTTGAATACTGCAACCAGCCATGGGGTCCTCAACACAGGAAGGACATTGACCTGTTGGAATGAGTCCAGATGAGGGTCACCAAGTTGATCAGAGGGATGGAGCATCTCTCCTATGAGGAAAGGCTGGCAGAATTCACATTGTTCAGCCTGGAAAAGAGAAGGCTTCAGGGTGACCTGACTGTGACCTTCCAGTATATGAAGGGAACTTACAGGAAAGGTGAAACAGGACTTTACAAGAGCATGTAGTGACAGGACAAAGGGAAATGGGTTCAAATTGAAAGACAATAGGTTTAGATTAGATATTAGGAAAAAAATCCTTATTATGGTGGTGGTGAGGTATTGGAACAAGTTGCCCAGGGAAATTGCGGATGCCCCATCCCTGGAGGTGTTCAAGGCCAGCTTGGATGGGTCTTTGGAACTAGATGATCTTCCTCTCCTTCAAACCCGACCCATTCTATGATTCTATGATTTTATGACCTTCCCCATCACTTGCCTCTTGCTTGATAAATTCAGAACTAACATTTCAGCCATGGATGCTGACCCAGCTCCCAAACTGAGCAGCTTGATGTCCTGTGCCTTCCACTGCTCCTGAGGCTGCTGCTGGTGACACAGCTGTTGCCACTGCTTCTGAAAACATGTGAGAGCTGCTCTGCAACACAGTGACAGATTGAAAATGCTAAAGCCCCATGGCAGCAAGCTGTGAAAAGTTCTCCACAGCTTCTGTGTATTTGCAGTGGCATTTGCAATGGCATGGAGCTCTGTTTTTGTCTGTTCTGGATGATAAGAGTGTGAAAATGACACTGGCTATGCAGAAGGAGCTAGATGGTGACAAAAGGAAAAGAAGAATTTTGATGACTGAGGTTGTTTTTTAGCTGGTTCTGGCAGTGTTATCCAGACATACTTCAGAAAAATACCAGCAGTGTGGGTGAAATACCTGGAATACTGGGAATATGTGTTCAAATTGCATATAATAATGAAAGGTCCCAGACACCTGGATGAAATACTGTGAGCTTTAGCAGGTTGTGTAAACACGGCTATGGAAACCACAGTCTACAGCACTTGTTCTCCAAATCGTAGTTTGAATTAGGATCTCTAAGTAGCTGATTCCTTTTGACTTGGAACTTGACTAGACTGGAATTAAACAGTATTCCTCTAGCACTTTTGAGCCATTCCAAATCATCCTAAGTAGATTCAGGCCTTTGTTACATTGAAAAAATTTGATGGCAAGTTCAATCTCTGATTACGCTAAAAAGGAAGCAAAATATTCTTTTCCTTTCTCCCATCTCATGAACTAGAGAAATTAGACTGCCAAAGAGGTTTTTTTTGGCATAGTTCTAAGACTTTTGTTGTCATGGGGATGTCAATTAATGGGGTTGTTTTTTATGTTCTGAACATAGCTGTGCCAACTAAGCTTTTCCATGCAGACGAGGTCTTACATGAATCTGAACTCTCATAATATTAGGAACTGGGCTTTCTGTTTAATAAATTGTCTTTTGAAGACTTCACTGTACTTCTTAGTATTTTTTTTCTCCTCCATAGCATACTGTATTAATTAAATGAATGTACAGGCATGTATTGCATACATACAAATTGGAAGATGTAGTAAACACAGGTTTTTTGAATGCACACATATATAAGTAATCTGAACTTTATTGGCATGACTGGCTGTGTGCAGGTCCTGCGACTGCGTAGTGTAAGGTGCAGGCTGTTCCTGTGCTTTGTGTGATCTGCAAAGACACTCATATAACATAATGCACACATATGTGCATATACAAAATGTCTGGTATCATGCACATGTCAAATATATAGGCATGTGTGTAGTGCATGCCTGAGTGCATGATTACATATTTTGTTGTGTAAATACAAAATGTTTTATACTTTGTATACTCATCTGTCATAAATGTGTGGAAGTGTATAGAATTAAATGAAAAGATTTTAGATGCAGTGTGTTGCGTACATGAGACTTAAAGCCTGGAAAGCATCTTTGTGAGCATGTCTAACTATACTGCATAGGCAATTCTATCTTTTGCATGAAAAATATTTTAAAATTATTTAAATATTCAATAGTGTTCTGTGCACACCCCAAGGAATTTAGGATTGCTAAAGGATTGCAGAAAATGCTGAAGAGGAATAGATATTACAACAATTTCCTAGATGTTTTGCACTGGGGCTCTTCAGCTATCTCCTTTACCTCAAGAATCTGTGTTTCTTGGAGCACATGAATATTCTGTGCTGAGTAGAAACCCTTACTGTCTGCCAGTAAAATGTTAGTAGTGCCCTTTGTTGGCTTCCTAGGGGAGTTCATGCAAATTTCTTTGAAATACAGCAAACCGTAGGATTCCTAAATGCTTCTAAACAAGACCAAATTAGAAAAAGGCTTCACATTGAAAACATAATTTTCAATTAGTGTCTATTCAATGGGAATGAGAACGGGGTGGAGGAGAGCTGGCATGTGAGATAAGCTGGATTTGTTAACATGCTTTGAAAACACTTGCTGGCTAGTATGTTTAATTTCCCTTGCAAATACCTTGCTGTAATTTTGTGACTTTTCCGTAGTCACTCTGCTCTTGTGCTTCAGATAGAAATGAACTCTGCCCAGCAAGAGGTAGACTTGAGACAACCATCAGCAGACTGCATTTAGGCGACATGTACACAGCTGAACATTGCTGCACAGGCTTAAAGCTGGGTAATAAACAAGTATTTTCTCTCCTCAGTCCATATCTATTCCTATTCACCAGTGCATATGTGAGAGCACTGAACAGGGAAACGGATAACTGAATGGCCAGAGACCAAAGTGACATCTCATTCCCTCCAGAACAACTCAACTCAACGTGTCTTTGGTAAAACTGATGTGGGAGGTGTTTTTTTCCATGGATAGAGAGTGCTAGTCTGAAGGAAAGGCACTGGGGACCCTTCACTATCTGAGTGCATTTTGCCAGTATTCCTCTTTCCAGAGGAAGAGGAGCAGGTGAGTTGCTGCTGCAGTTGCTAACTGTTGGAAGAGACATATGAAGTACAGCACAATTAGCTATTCTTTCTTGTGCCTCTTATTAATTTTATTCTCCTTATTCTCCAACATGTGGCAGCATTGAGCATTTTCCATTTTTTTGCATAAGGGTGAATGTACCTGGTCCTTTTCTTCCTGCTTTGGTTTGCTTTCATTACTTTGACTTGAACCTTCTGTAGAAGACCTCCTTGCCTTATCTCATTTTCTTTCCCTTCTCATCTTCTTTCGTTTCTTACTGTTGCTCTTGTTAGAAATTACCCTTTTCTTACCTTCAATCTCAGGAAATATCATCCTTGCCACATCTTGGCATGGCTGTTCCATGTTATCTTGCCCCATGTATGGAGCAGCCCATCCCTGTGTTCATTTGTACGTGCTGTGTAGATTTTCTGCCTTCTCTCTTGCATTTCAAGGCACTACGCTTGACATGCTCTTTCATATTTGTCTGTGTATCTCTGGGTCCACAGGTCGGACCAGTGTCTCTCAACTTATCACCTGACCAGCTGCTCAGTCCCTGCTCACCTCACCACAACCTGACCCTGGGATGAGCAGTGCTGCCTCAGGTCCATAGCACTTATTGCCTCACCTTCATTTTCCATTCTGCCAGCAGGGATTGAGATATTGATGCTATCTG